GATCATTATCATCTCCCGCCTTTTCCCAAACCTCATCAGCTCGCGGATGAATCTCCGATATGAGCTGTTGATCGGGTTAGCGCGGTTGTTCCTTTGTGAGGGTGATTTGCCGCCAGATTGTGCTGCTGCACTGAAGGCTGTGGCGCCAAACCCCTCGTCTCCAGATGTTCATCCTCCGACTAAACGGGTGTGTGTTAACGGGTGTTTCGGAGCCTGATCGCGCTGTTTGTGCAGTTTTAACGTTAGTGATGTTTGTTTGTCGGAGTTTATTGGAGAAAAGCAGAAATGGCGCCACTTTCTCCCCCACCCGCGCCTCAGTGCAGCTGTGGAGCACCGGAAGCGGAACTCGCGCTATTCCCCCTCAGTGTTCGTCTGTTCTGCTGTGTTTATCTGTCACTCTGCTGTTTTTAATCATTTGTTGTGTTTTTGTTTTAGCTGTTGCTGCTTCCGCGCCCCGGAAATCACTCGGAGCATCCGGATCCTCGAACGCGCAGAGCGGCAGCGCGCAGTCGGGCACGCCTGGTAAGTGCACGCGCACGGTGCAGCTTCTGTCGTCAGGCTGAGGTACCGCTGTGTGCTGTAGATGAGCTGTGGTTATCCAGCTCTTATTCTCTGCAGGGTCATCCTCTGAGGCTGTGTTTGAGTGTGCTGGATTCTCACTCCGCTTGTTATTTATACTCTATAGTCTTTGTTGTAGCCGCTCTCCTGTTGACCTGAGGGTTTCCATAGCAACTGCGTATTAATATTACCACGCCCCTATCACCATTAGAATGCCATTAAAGAGTCTTGCACAGATGGCCCCGCCCTCTACTCAATATGCATATTCAGCTGAAAGCTCATTAGCATACTGAAGTAAACGTATCAGAAGCATTGGAGTGTTCAGGTTAGTGTGTGTGTGTAGGTGTTGGTCAGTTATCATGCTCACTCTGTGTGTGTGTGTGTGTGTGTGTCTTCAGCTAAGAGTAAGTATGCGGGGGGGAACCCTGTGTGTCCGCGGCCCACCCCGACCTGGCAGAAGGGCATTGGGGATTTCTTCGGTGGTCCAAGCAGAAAACCAGAGAAGGAGAACCTTCATCCTGAGGGAGAGGAGGATGAGGAGGAGGCCGGCGGCAGTGGTGTCAGCAAAGCGCAGAGGAGGTGTGTGTGTGTGTGTGTTCACTGAACTGTGTGTTGAAGTATTAAATGTGGTAGTAAATCACGATCGACCGCTGTTTGTGTGTGTGAGGCTTGGGCGGTATCCAAATTTTGATATTGTCAAACCGCCTCCTTATTTTACCCCGGTATCCGATATTACCGTGTGTAATAAAAAAATTATGACGTAAGGCTCAGACAGCGTCAGCAAACTGTTGGCTTGAGCCTAAACCAGTCAGAAACTGAATACCTTCTATGCGGCAGTAGGCTCGCGGTCACCTGTTTGTCTTGTTTGTTTTCTTCTGTGCGGGACACTCCTCATTCACACGCAGACACACACACACACACACACACAGAGAGAAAGAAAGCGCGCCAAGCGACGTACAGCACCGCTCTCTCACTCTTACACACACGCACGTCTCCCGCGATTTATTCTGAAATGTACTCCCACACTGTAAGAACTCTGGCCGGCTCCCGCGGTACAGCAGCGGGAATGCAGAGCTGTAATCGGGCCATAAACATTATACCCGATAGGGCCCGAGCCCGACAGGTACGTTTTGTTTGACAGCTTTATAAAGCCCGAACCCGTTTACAGCCTGACATTATACACATGTGCTCATGCACACAGCTCTAATGCATTTTTTCAATGATGTCATTTATATGTTTTAACATCATTCATTTATAACAAATGTAGACTATAGGCCACTTGGAAGTTGAAACAAAGAAATAACATAAGTCCTGTGTAACATCGTAACATCTCAACACTCTAAATAGGTCTAGGTACATACACTTAGCCTTTAAATTGGCCAACACTGAAAAGAATTCTTGCTTAAAAGTGATGACCGTATTTTGGCAATAATGAAATTAAGATAAAGGCTCTGCAAGATGTGTTTCTCCACTTCTCTTCACGATCTGGCATTAAGGTGAAGCTGAATCATAAAAGAATAATGCCACCATTAGCCTGTATACTCTGACTACATTATGATTATATGCTTTAATATTTATTTATAATTTAAACCCCTTTACTCACTATGATTAGGCTACGTGTGTTTGTGGAGGAACATTATCAAACTTCACCACAGTGTGATCTGAGTCTCTGTGAGCTTGATGAGATCAGCTGTGTGATGTCCTGCTGCATCCTTTACTGCAGTAACCATGGAGACATCATTGACAGCAGGAGTAAACTCGGCTCCTGGAGGACCACAGCCCTGATCACACAGCTGATCCACTGATGACGGTGCTCATGACTCTGGTGAACAGCTCCAATAGTGGATCAGGGTTGGAGCAGAACTGCAGAGCTGTGGTCCTCCAGGAGCGGAGGTTACTCCTGTGCTGGACACTAAAGTGGAGATGAGTCCTCAAGGGGATTAAAGTTCACTCTGATACTGAACTGTGTGTGTGTGTGTGTGTGTGTGTGTGTGTGTGTGTGTGTTTCAGGTCCAGGCCGATCATCGAGGATGAAGATGATGATGATGAATGATCTCTCTTTGAGTTTCTTCAGTGTAAATCTTTGTAAATATTTTTAATGGACGCTTCACTGGTTTTGTACAGGAGTTTAATAAACTGTTGAATCTTCTGCATTGTCTGATCTCTGCATTGTCTGATCTCTGCATCTGTCTGATCTCTGCTGTCCTCCAGTTCTGGTATCTGCAGGATTTTATTGTCTTGAGTTTCAAAAACCAAATGTTAAACCCTTTTAAAGTCTTGAATTGACTGAAGTCTTGTGTTGTAGGTGTTCAATCACTGTAAGCGGGTCTTACTTTTCCTCTGTCCATGTAAAGGGACCCAACTGGGGCAACACCCATCCAGTCACTAACAATATACTTCAATAAAGGTTGAGAGACATGTCTTTATTTATTATTAATACAGGTTAATTCTCTTCCTTACAGGAGCATGTGTTCAAGGTGTTTTGGCCATTAAGAGCATCTTCAGAGTTTAGTCTTGTGCACGTCTGAAGTCTCAGTATGGTCTTAAACTTGACTTGATGGACCTGTACAAACCCTGTTCAGCCCTGTTAGATGATGAGCTGGAGCAGGAGTCACCAGTCTTGGTCCTGGAGGTCTGGTGCCCTGCAGGGTCTTGCTCCATCTTGCCTCAGTACACCTGCCTGGGTGAATGAAGTGTACCTAGTAAGAGCTTGATCAGGTGTGTCTGACTCCTGTTCTGTGTGTTGATCATCATCTGAAGGCCTCGTTTGCTGGATGAGATCCTCCATCTCTGCCTGTCTGGTGTGGATTCTCTATCATTGATCAACACATTAGCTGTGTTCTGCCCTCTCTTCATTATTAGTGTCAGACCTGCTGCTCAGACTGTTCTAGATGAATGATGAGATCAGTGTGTGCTGTAGGAGTGAACACAGGTAATCTGCAGGTCTCTTCAGTGTGATGTGCTGCTGTCTCCAGCTGTGCCTGTGTGTATCTCAGTGTTCTGCAGCCCACAGTGCTGTGCTGATCTGCGGCTGGTTCTAGAGTGAACATTAGTGTTGTGGGAACTGTGTGTGTGTGTGTGTGTGTCTGTGTGTTAACATTAATCAGGGTGACCTGCTCCTTCATTAGAGGCCTACAGAGAGTTCCTGCATCTGCTGGAGTAAATAAAGGCAATATACTAATAATCAGCTCCTGCATATGTAAATGAGTCACCAGGGTTATCCTTTCATTGGCTGTTAGCTCCAGACCCGCCCACTCATCCTCCAGCGCCAATCAGAGCGCAGTGTGTCTGATTGACAGCAGCTGCTTGTGTGTGTGTGTGTGTGTATAAATGGTCTCCACTGCGCTCCTCAGTCTGTAAAGCAGTTGACTTGAGGAGAGCTGGCGACACGAGCTTTAGCGCTTACTCTGGTTCCTTCCCCCGCTCTGGCTGACCGAGCTGTGCCCGCAGACAGATGGAGGATCATCCGCACACATGAGGAGTCATCGACACACCGGTGTCTCCGTCTGAACTCAGGTCAGTTCACTGTCACTGCGGTGAGTTGCCTGCACACAGGCTGAGTGAGTGTGATGAAGGCTGTTTACTGTGCTCTTCTTCACAGATGATGATCACATCACAGCCCAAACTGCTCCACCGCACTGAGAGATGATGTCCAGTAAACAGCCAATCACACACAGCCCGAACATCGACCCGACATAATCACTATATATATATTTAGAGAAACACTACAGACTATAAAACACTATTCATGAAAATACTTAAATCACAGACACATTTACATTTAGTCATACAGCAGACGCTTTTATCTAAAGCGACTAACAAATGAGGACAAGGAAGCAATTTACACGACTATAAGAGCAACAATGAAGAAGTGCTGTAGGCGAGTTTCAGGTGTGTAAAGTGTAAAAAAACAACACACTAGTCAGTTTATTTAAGTTAGTGGAGTCAGAGAGGGAATTGCATATTAGTAAGGAAAGTGGAGACCAATCCAAATGCTCAACACAGGCGAGCTGCGCTCCAGACCAGTTCAGCCATAGATATATACCCTAGATATCGCATAGGGACCCTGAGCATGCGTCAATAGCGCCGCCACATTGGTACAGTGCTCCCAGGACAAATGTCATTCAACCGCACTAATCAAGACAGTGTTATTACGTGATGATGCGGGAATTTAGCGCTGTCTACGGGTGTAGTAACGAGAAAACAAAGCACAAAGCCAGAACACTTTATAGGTAATATTAAGTTTTTTTTTTTAACGTTTTTGTATGTTCTGAACTTTTGTACCAATCAGTTATTGATGATAACAGTCACTTACTGCATATGAGGCAAAGCAGTTCCAACTCGCACTAAACACTAGGCTTATGCTAGTTTTGATGAATAAAATCAGCAAACAGAAATATGATGCCGCGCTGCCAGAAACTGGTATTATTGTCGGCTAATAGTGAAAGAGTCGTTCATAACGGAGATTCATTCACAAACGAATCGCTCCCTCCGTCAGTATGAGCAGTGAAAGCAGGAGAGGAGCTGTGTTTCAGGACATGATCAGATCAGATTTACCAGGGAGCGTGAATAGTACATTTCTGTACACACAAACACAAGCTCTTTGTCAGGAATGCCCGTGCGGTCACTGATCCATCAATGTAGAAAAGTGATGTAAAATTATAATTTTCGTAATTAATTTTTTTAATACTAACATCCAGAAAAACTCCCGATCATGGATATGTGTATGTGTGTATATCTCTGGCCACAGTCCTCCACTGCAGCTTGGTCCCGCATTCAGCTCTACCCTGTTCCAAGATGGCGGCTCTATTGACGCATTCCTTCCAATAGACAACAATAGGGTAGGCGACGTCTAATGTAAATATCTATGCAGTTCAGCTGGATGACGTATAATGCCTCCGACAGCGCCTGTAGTCCCGTTTAGCAGCTTGACAGCAGTCGTCTATAACCGATTTAATAAATCAAGAGTCCTGTAACTGATGTGTTTGTCTTATAGTAAAACGTGAAAGTATCTCGAGTGTGTGTTTTCCAAGAACCTTACGTGATTTTACTGATATCCCATTCAGAAAACCCGCTTCTCTCGTCCCAAAGTCAATGGGGCTGCTAAAATGCTAACTCGCTTCCAGGTTTTGCCTATAAATTGACGTCATAGCTCCTCCGCCCTATTACGACGCTGTTTAAGCGATTATTGTGTGTGTGTGTGTGTGTGTGTGTGGTTAGAGTATATCAGTGATATTAATATATTAGTTTGAGTATATTATTGTCTCATCATCTCTACCGCAGATGTACCGTCTGTGTTTGTTCTGCAGATGTCGCTGCTGAGCTCTGCGCGCGCACAGCTGCTCCTCCGCCGCTAGAGGCACTGGCGGCGCGTCCTGCACTTCCGCTTCCGGCCGAGCGCTGCTCTTTCTCTTCCGCTCCGGAATCATCATGGTGGGTACCGAGTGTTTGTGTCTGCAGAATCCGTCCTAATCCTCCCGCCGTGCTGCTCAGATCGGCTGCAAACACACTCCCGGTGCAGGAGGAGAGTGTGTGGGGTGTGTGTGCCCGAGTCTGGCGCGGCGGAGGAGTGTTTGAATGAGTGAAGAAGAGCGAGCGAGCCGACACAGACACACACACACACACACATATATATACTCGCACACTGGCGATCGGTGTGTTCGATAGTGACAGAGATGATCGATAACTGATCAGACGGAGGAGAGTGTGTGTGCGAGCTGTAATGGTGTGTGAGATCTATAAGGCTAGTGTGTGTCTGAGATCTGCAGTGTAGGAACGATGAATCTTGCGAGTGTGTGTGTGAGAGATAACTGTAATAATATTAATGATCATGCTAACGTGTGTGTGTGTGTCAGGGCCGGGTCAGGACTAAGACGGTGAAGAAGGCTGCGCGGGTCATCATAGAGAAGTACTACACCCGCCTGGGCAACGACTTCCACACCAACAAGAGAGTGTGTGAGGAGATCGCCATCATCCCCAGCAAGAAGCTGCGCAACAAGATCGCTGGGTGAGCACACACACACACACACACACACACACCCTCTGTCAAACACATGTGTATGTACCCTTTCTCACACACATGAGACCGCAGTAGCAGAGCTGAACACTGATCTCAGGAAAATACACACACACTGATGGGTTTAGTGGTCAAACACACACTGCAGTGTCCCCGAACACGTCTTTGCTTCTCTGTGTGTTAAACAGTGTGCAGCGCTTTAAAAGAGATGAGCATCACACACACACACACACACACACACACACACACACACACCTGTGCAGCGCATGTTTTCACTGAACTGGAGTGGAGGTGTGTGTGCGTGTGTGTGTGTGTGGACGAGCCCCTACAGCTGGAGAGCAGAGCTCAGCTCAGAGGATCCTCCATGTAGATCAGGGGTCACCAATCTTGAGGGCTGGTGGTGTCCTGCACATTTTTGCTCCAACCCAAATCAAACACACCTGAACAGCTGATCACGCTCTCACTAGGTATACTTGAAGCATTCAGGCAGGTGTGTTGAGGCAAGTCGGAGCTAAACCCTGCAGGACACCGGCCCTCCAGTTGGCCGTTGATGTCTTGACATGATCCAGAATGGTTTGGGTCTTCATTCCTCATGTCAGAGTTGTTCTGGAGCTGTGACCCGCTCGTCTCGTATGAACAGGAGCAGATCAGCTCAGTTCTAGTGAAGGTGATGCTGAACAGCACTGAATGCGGATCTCATCACTGCAGTAGCCTGTATACACTGGGGCCGTGCTGACATCTGTAAATATACTGTAATAATTCAGAATAATTAGCAATATTGAAGATTAGATGGTTATTATTTGTTTGTGCATCAGGCTGTCCGCCAGGGTTGTAAGTGGAATGAGCCAGCATTAGTAAGTGGTGTCGGTCATCTGACGAGGTGTTTTCCAGATCCGGTTATCTAGACCGATCTTCCACCAGTGTTCAGCCGGTATTGTGACGTGTGTGTGTGTGTGTGTGTGTGTGTGTGTGTGTGTGTGTGTGTGTGTGTGTGTGTGTGTGTGTTTCCCGGTTGAGGGTAGGACCGGAGTGATATCATGTGAGGTGGTGTTGATCCGCCTGCGTGTGCTGAAACTTGTGATGTATTGGGGAGCGTGTGTGTGTGTCCGCTCGTCATGGCTGTAGTGTACCTGCCTGGTTTTCTCTGTGAGCGTGCTGAATCACTCTCCCCTGCCGCTCTATTGGCTCATTTCAGCTGTCAATCACTCGAGGCTTTCCTCTGTCAGGTGACAGGAGCTGTAGTGACCGCAGGAGATGCAAACAGCTGAAGAGTGGAAACCACACGCAAACCCAGCTACAGTTACACATGATGATGATGATGATGATGATGATGATGAGAGCGATCATGCTGAATGTTGAGTCCGGTGTTTTCAGAGAAGGTGCCTGAATCAGGATGTGCTGCATTACTGTGTTCATCGCTAATGTCCACTAAACTCTCACACTGTTCACGTCACTGGTAAAGCAGTTCTCCTTCACTGAGTTCAGACTGATCGCCGGCTCATGACGGTGGTGTTGCGCCGGTGGTCATCAGGAGATTCCTGCTCTGCATCCTCATATGTTGGTTCAGCTGTCTCGCCTGCTTTATTCCTCAAACACAGAGAAATGAAGATCCGCTCATAACAACACCGAGCATTTACAACCACACAAACCCAAACCTCAAACAGTGCCGCAGTCAGACTTACTCCTGTGTCGGCTCTTCATTGAGCTGTGTATTATCAGTTTAGTTACTGAAGACTGATCTGCAGCTTCAGCCTGGAACTGAATCATGTTTATCTTTTGTTTTGTAGCAGAAATATTAATAATAATATATGAACATTTCTCACTGCAATGCTTCATTTGTGTTTGATGCAAACCAGAGATTTAGTCTGTAACAGCAGGACTTCATAGCACAACTCGAGCACATCTCCAGCAGCATGATGATGATGATGATGATGATGATGATGATGATGAGAGATGGTGTTCATTGTTGTCATTAATATTCTATAACTATCAGACATTCATTGTGGAATTATTGCGCACATCAGGAAGTCGTCACAGCATCAGTTTCAGGGTTTCTGCATTTTGTTTTTTTCAAGGACTAAACCCGGTTTATAATCGCCCTGCGCTGATCCAGGCTCAGTGGAGGAACAAGCGTAACTACTGAACCGTTCATACAACAGGACTGCTGACATGCATGACATTAATTAAAACTATAGAGAAGTAAACTAGTGAAAGGAATTAGATTAAATGTAAGATCTTCTGTATATGCCCTGATACACACATATAGAACACAAGTTTCACATGTACACATGCATACACAAATATATAAATACAACTGATGCAATCTAGAGTCTAAAACCAAACTAACAGGCTGTTCCCGAAGCGGATGGAGGAGAACGTTTATTAATGTGGGCTTTCACATGCGAACACTCGCTGCTTGAAGATAGCGGCCCAGCTTTACTCACTGAAGGAAACAGACGTGCTCAATATTCCTCTGCTCGTTTATTTGTTGTGTCGGTGATTTGATGCTCTGCAGACGTCTTCACTGGTAGCACAATGCTGTTTTGATGCTAAATGAATGTAAATTTGCTGATCGGGGAAATGATTATGCCTATAGGCCACTGTCATGAAGGACATCCACTCACACTACACTGAGTACATCACTGCAGACCCTGAACACATGCAGAGCTGCAGAGTGATGGCGTCCGCCCCGCATCCTCAAGCTGATCATCATCATCATCATCAATGTTTTAATATTTCAGTGTCCACACACACACACACACACACACACACACATTGTGTTTGATAGCAGACAGAGATGTGTGTGTGTGTTGTGCATGAGTGTCAGCTGCATACACCACACAGGCTAGCATTTTAACCAACAGCAGGCCTACATATTATAATTGTGTGTGTGTGTGTGTGTGTGTGTGTGTGTGTGCAGGTATGTGACGCACCTGATGAAGCGGATCCAGCGCGGGCCGGTCAGAGGAATCTCCATCAAGCTGCAGGAGGAGGAGCGCGAGCGCAGGGACAACTACGTGCCCGAGGTGTGTGTTTCAGCGTCTGCGCTAGTGTGTGTCGTCTGCAGCCCTGTTTCGAAAGTGACCGTGGTGTGTGTGGTCTCCAGGTCATTGATAAAACAGGAAGAGGAAGTGAAAGTGTTTCCCGTGTGTGCTGGACTCTGTTCCTGACAGACCCTGAATCTTTCACACATGTATAATGTCTCCTGTTCATTACATCAGTATAGGTGTGTGTGTGTGTGTGTGTGTGCGCGTGCGTGTGTGTGTGTGTGTGTGTGTGGGTGTGTGCACTCTTTCTGAAGGGGTAACACACACACACACACACACACACACACCGTTGTTTTTGTAAAGCGTCTTCAGGAGTGTGTGGGTTTGAGGACGCTCTCAGGTCACACTCACTGTAGTGAACACAGCTCCTCAGTGCCCTTACTAGTGCACACGACTGACTAATGAACGCCAGCCGGGGTTTGAGTTGACTCCAGCACTGTGATGTACTGTAACACCACTATAGCGCTGTATCTTCATCATCCTCATCCTCTGAGCTCTGATCAGTCCTCCAGCTCTCGCTCGCGTCTCAGGAGAAGCCAAACACTGCTGAGATGATGATGATGATGATGAAGAACACGGCAATGAAGGAGTCTGAGGCGCTCTCACGGCTTTAATCTGCGCGTGTGTTCAGTCTTGATGATGATGATGATGATGATGGACTAAGTGTGTGTTTGTGTTTGTCCACAGGTCTCCGCTCTGGACCAGGAGATCATCGAGGTGGACACTGACACTAAAGAGATGCTCAAGCTTCTGGTGAGAGACTGAACTGATGAATCAATAACTCCAATCATGTATCCATGACTCTGTGAATCGTAGACTCAGTGAATCGTGAATCACCTGTTTCGAAAGTGACCGTGGTGTGTGTGGTCTCCAGGTCATTGATAAAACAGGAAGAGGAAGTGAAAGTGTTTCCCGTGTGTGCTGGACTCTGTTCCTGACAGACCCTGAATCTTTCACACATGTCCATCAGTGTGTGTGTGTGTGTGTTATTGACCGTCAGGTGTGTGTGTGTGTGTGTGTGTGTGTGTGTTAACTCCACTGTTGTGTGTCTCCTGCAGGATTTCGGCAGTCTCTCCAATCTGCAGGTCACTCAGCCTCCGGTCGGCATGAACTTCAAGACCCCGCGAGGAGTCTAGCGCTCTAATGTAATATACAACAGCTGTCAATAAACTGAGGAAAACACCAGCGCCGTCTGCTCTTCACTACTGCTCGTGCGTGTGTGTGTGTGTGCGTGCGCGCGTGTGTGTGTGTGTGTGTGTGTGTGTGTTTGTGTGACAAGGCGTACATATCCTTCTATAACGTGTGTGTCCAGGCGGGCCGCTGTTCAGCCGAGTTGTTCAGCTCTCCTGCAGGAGGTGTGTGTGTGTGTGTGTGTGTGTGTGTGTGTGTGTGTGTGTGTGTGTGTGTGTGAAGGGAGAGCTGGATGAGCTGCTGTGTGTGTGTGTGTGTGTGTGTGTGTGTGTGTGTGTGTGTGAGATCAGGGCTGGACTGAGTTTGGGCTCTCCTGTGTTAGTCGCTGTCTGTTTCTCGGTGTTCTTCAGCAGTCTTGTGTCCTCCTCTAACATCATCATCTGCTGTCCACGTTCAGTCCTGATACTCCAGACTGCAGGAGCAGAGGACGCGTGACGGTGCCGGATGTGTTCTCGATATCGAGGACACACCGATGCAGACATGAGCACCGAACTCGCTCTGGAAGTCCCAGAAGTCACTGCGGCTGAAGGCGGGAAGCGCAGCATTTCTACAGGGTTATTATAGTTCAGACATGACGGATGATCCTCAGCAGCTTCCCTGAATGAGACGCTGAGATGAACATCAGCATGAGCATCTCCATAAGGCAATGAACACATCAGGGCTGTGTATCTGCTCACACTCCTCATGAAGCAGTGTTGATGATATTCTGCTGTGTGTGTGAGTCAAGTGGAGGTAAGTGTGTGTGTGTGTTGGATGCTGTAATGTTTACAGGAGTGATGGTTTAAGACCGAACGCAGCGTCTCCTTCCTCTCAGGATGCGGTGTCTGTCCTCGTGGTCTCCTGAGTTCAGTCTTCTGGTGTGAGCTGTTGGAGCGGGTCTCCACACGAACACGTGTGTGTGTTCAGCACAGGAGCAGGGTTACACTGAGTCGGCTCACACATCAGTTCACTGGGATGTCCAGCGTGAGTTCCTGCTGGTGCACGTGTAGATCAGCTATTGGGTGGACTAGACTAACGCCAGCACAGACTCCACACATCTCTCTGAATTGCTCACACTGGACATAAAGCCGGATGAGGGTCTTAAAGTCCTCAGTAAAACATGTCACCAGTGTCTTTGTGTTTATTGTTCATCGATCCTGATCGAGTTTAATTTGAAATGAAATTGCGTCCCAAAGGCGTCTGTCCAGGGCTCTGTTCTTCATACGTGGATTACTCAGTGAGCTGGATTTGGATATTGATGATTTGACATGATCCAGGATCGTTTCGTTCTTCAAAGCTGATCTGAGAGTTGTTGTCATGGCAACAGTTCTGCTAGCTCAAACCTGATCGGCAGCAGCTCAGTTCATATAAACAGGATTAGATCAGCTCAGTTCAAGCAAAGATAATACTGAAAGTATGTTCCCAATGCTGATATTTTCTTACAGTAGCAGTTATATACACTTGAGAAAATACATTTTTTTTAAAAACTTATAAAGTTATTGTTATTAATAAAATAAAAGGTATGTATTAATAAATCTGCAATCTGCTCTCCGAAATGAAAGTAGAAAGACTGCCACCTGCTGGTCCACAGAGAAAACCTACTGATATGAACGTTTAAGGTCGCTTTAGTACAGTTTGTGTATGATAATAAACATGCACAATGTGATTTTTTTAAAGCAATAATACATTAATGCAGTCATGAACATGTTTTGACAGTTAATATGCCAGTGATTTGATGCTTCACAAAAGTTGCAGAAGCCTTTACCAATATCAAAATGCTTTTGTAAACATCCAGTTATTCTTTACAGCGATTATAATAACCAGCTCCTATAACACCACTATCACTACTATAATAAGGAGAATCCGCTCTAACTGTAAAACTGAGTAAACTGCTGTCGACACATGAAAGTGTAAAGCTGCAGCTCACAACAACGTGTAAAGTTACTGCGTGTCAAATTAAACAAACTGATTACTGCAAATTTGATGAAATTTAGCTCACATGGATAATTGAATATTAATCAGATGATGTCATCACGCTGCTGTGCCGTCAGCCAATCGCTGCATTGCTGATCATGATTTCGAGGATCGATAGATCTGTCCTTCACAACACACACAGCGATCTCAGATCAGCTCATATTCATCCAGACATTCTAATCCGATTCACGAACTTGTTTGAAAAACCAAATTAGCGAGAGATCAGTTATCAAGAGGAACAGATCCAGGATCTGCCAAATCATCTCAGATCATTTAAGCGAGCTACGAAGAACAGACCCAGAGCTGAATAGAGGAGAAGCAGAGCTGAGGGTGCAGGTGTGCATTATGATCACTAGTGCACTATCAGCACCTGTTCAAATAAATGCAGTGATCACAGAAATACTGGTGTAGTGTGAGACTAACAGAAGCCACATTCAGCATGTCTCATTAAATAATCAATAATAATGATCTGCCACTGATTCACCTGCTGAACACACACAGGTTCCCTCACCTGCTCAACACCTAATCTACCCGCTGTCCAGCATCTGATGCAGAGATCTGTCAGTGTAAATCTGTGTAAAGCACGCTCAGATGTGTCCTGCATTTTGCTGATTTCTGCATTTATATTTGTGTTAATTGTTTACAGAATACTGCATTTGATTCATCTTTAATTTGAACATGTCAGACTCATACACTGTATTTTAATGAGTGTTTTCTGGCTTACACACGTATTACTTTAAATCTGAGTAAATCTTTCCGCATGTAAAACATGTGGCAGTGAATACACATGTATAGACTGGAATATTAAACTGTGTGTCTGCTGTCTCCTCGCTGTTTTACAGCAGTGGCCTCTTCTGTTTTCATCTTGCCCGGGGCGCCTCAGCCCTCACCCCGCCACCGGGCACATGCATATTTACTTACCCATTAATTTAATTAGTAATATTAAAGACACAGATCAGAGCAAAAGCTAAAGGGCTCATGTGAAGTTAGAATATAATAGTTATCATAATATTGATTAAACACACGCCGGTACCGCGCGCTGTCTGAGGTAAACAAACCCAGAGCGTCAGATCACGTGCCCGCGGACTCGTGACGTCATTGATGCTCCGCGCACGCTTCAGTGAACACACTCTGGCCAGGTGTGAATGACAGGTGATAACGCTGTAGATCAGGTTCATTTGAAGCACAGAGCGGCCGCTTCTCCTCATCAGTCCTCAGAGCAGCTCCAGGAGCTCTTCATCATCTGTCCTGAGTGTCTGTTTATCTGGAAGCGGAGACACAGCGGCCGCCATTACCTGCACAGCCGAGGAGAGACGCAGCAGACCCCCTGCTCACTGCCGCTGGAGGAGCTCTTCAGTAGGCACGGCTCAGTCTGACGGTATGATAACCCTGGATATACATATCAGTACAGTGATCACTGCTCTACAATATATCCTCTTAAATGTCTGAGTAAACAATAACAACAACAGCTTCCCCCTCTGAGCTCAATATCTCCCTCTATAATCTGCATATGAGAGATTAATAATGTTGAGGAGCAGCGAACAGGAATAACTCAGATGATCATCCTCTGCTGTCTGCCTTCATTTCTAGAGCAGGGTTATTTATTTAGAGCAGCATGTTTAGAGATGTTCACTGCTGAAAAACAACATGTGAATAATAACATCTCCCTCACACACACCTCACACACACCTCACACACACACCTCACACACACACCTCACACACACACCTCACACACACCTCAGCAACCGTACAGCAGAACTGTGTGTGGCACAAAACATCGACGTTTCCAACCCGCGGTGCACCGTGAACATCATCATCGCCATCATCATCTTCAGTGCAGTGCCCGAGGGGGAGTGGAGGATCCGCACCACACACTGATGCGCACATGCAGAGGTGAAGGGGTGTGTGAGAGTCTTCATCATCATCATCATCATCTTCATAATCTCACACACACTGATCTGAGCTCAGCTGCTTGAGTACTCCAGAATGACCTGCTGTTTGTCCAGTCCTCACACACACACACACACACACACACACACACACACACACACACACACACACACACACACACACACACAGTGTGGTAATTTACAGTTTTATTAAATCGTCAGCTGTAAAACAGGCGTAACTGTGGGAAGAACAGTCAGCGCTGCGGGAGACCCAGCGGGAGCGCTCGCTGCACACCTTCCTCATCCTCCTCATCATCACTATTATTGCAGAAATGTTCAATAAC